GCTGTGCCAGGGGAGGGTCAGGTTGGACATCAGGAGGAATTTCTCCATGGAAAGGGTGGTCAGGCACTGGCAGGGGCTGCCCAGGGAGGTGGTGGAGTCCCCATCCCTGGAGGTGCTCAAAAAACACGGGGATGTGGCACTTGGGGACATGGCCAGTGGTGACCCTGGTAGTGCTGGGGGGATGGTTGGACTTGATCTTACAGGTCCATTCCAACCTTCCTGACCCTGTGATTCTGGGACAGTAATTGGTCAATGTTGGGCTATTTTCATGCATGGAAATCATCCATGGTTTGGGTTTATTTATAGCAGGCACTAGAACAGGAGATTTAGCTTCACCTCCCTTCATTTAAATTCCAACTGGGATTCAGCAGGACTCAGTGGCTTTTTTGACAGGTGGGGGCAGTCCCCTCTTGCTGCTGCAATTAAAAACTCATTAAGGCACAGCTCATTTTCCTCATTACTTTAAGCACTTAAATAATCTTTAGTGTTTAATATGACAAGACTGAGCAGATTGGGACTGATACTTCCCTCTGCTCCTTCCTCCCACACATTTCCTTGGTCATTAGAATCTTGCAGCAAAGCCTCAGGAGCTTTGCAGCCCCAGAGCAGCATCCTCAGCTGGGCCAGACACCACCCCCAGCTTGGTGTGGAGGTGCTGCAGGGAAATCATCAGGGACAAGTGTTTCCAAGTGGCCACAAACTGATTTCACAAAGCCTTGAGAAGATTCTGTGCTGGGACTGTCACCTCTGCTCTGCCCAAAGTGCTGCCCTCAGACACTGTGGGACAAACAGCCCTTGGAGCGAGGGCAGCCAGGCTTGGGTTGTCCTCCTGAAATGAAAAGGGATGGGGAGAAGCTGGAAGGCTCAGCTCAGGGGGGAAGGCACAAAGTCATGTTGTTCCCGTGAGCTGCACGATGAAGCTTCACTTTCCCAGAGAAGCTGTGGCTGCCCCGTCCCTGGAAGTGTCCAAGGCCAGGTTGGAGCAACCTGGGATAGTGGAAGGTGTCCCTGCCCATGGCAGGGGGTGGGACTGGATGGTCTTTAAGGTCTCCCCCAACCCAAGCCATTCCATGATTTAGCAAGGACAGACCCTTCCCCAGGGACAACGTTCCTCTTTTGGTGCCAACCACAGCAACCAGATCAGAAAATCATGGAATATCCTGAGATGGGAGGGACCAACTCTTGGCCTTGCACAGACACCCCAACAATCCCACCCTGTCCTTGAGAGTGTTGTCCAGACCCTCCCTGAGCTCTGGCAGCCTTGGGGCTGTGCCCACTGCCCTGGGGAGCCTGGGCAGTGCCCAACCAGCCTCTGGGGGAAGAACCTTTGGCTGAGATCCAACCTGAGCCTGCCCTGTGTGAACAGGAGCTCCAGCACTGCTGCTGGAGCACAACAGCACATCCACACTTCCAGGGAATCAACCTGCCTTTCTTCTTTTCCAAACCCAGATCACAGGGCAGCACAGCTCCATTTAAAACCTCAATTACATGGAAAAAAAATGGAGCCTCCTTCCTGTCCTGAGCACTGACAACTCCTTCCCGCTGCTGGAGCTGAGGAGGAATTAGCTGTGCTCTTGTTCTCTCTCTCCTCTCTCCTGGGGCTGAGCTGCTGTCAGACCTCCTGTTTGCTTTGGAGAGCTTGGGAAAATCACCCTCCCTCCACCAGGCTGGAAACTAAGAGCAAAGTGAAGAGGGTGTTTGTGGGGTTTGAGTGCACAGCTCACCTTGGAGCTGTGAAACGTTGGACTGTGGGTTTTCATCTGGGACTGGGAAGGGAAGGCTTTCCCAACACTTCCAGCCAGCAGAGGCATGTTGCATCCTTTAAAAAGGCTTAAACCCCAATTTCCCTGGGTCCCTGAGCTCTTGGGATTAGAAACACAAGAGACTTTCCACATGCCAGCTTTTGGGACCAGAGCACAGGCACGACACTAAACTGTTCCCAGAGAAGGAAACTGAGGCACAAAATGTCCTTGATGTCCCTTGGCTTGAAGGCACCTGGCCAGGATGAGCTGCTGGGAATTCAGGGATATGTCCTATTTCTGGAAATAGGACATTCAGAGCAAGGCACTGCCCAGGCTGCCCAGGAAGGGTGTGGAGTCTCCCTCACCGGGGATGTTCCAGAACCATCTGGATACAGTCCTGTGCCATGTGCTCTGGGATGACCTTGCTTGACCAGATGCCCCACTGTGGTCCCTTCCAGCCTGACCCACTCTGGGATTCCTGCTTGCAAGTGGAATGAGGTGACATTAGACAGCACATACTTTTTATTATTAAAAATCCCCAAGAAACAGCAAACTCCCACTTGGATCAGGCCGAGAAAAGCCCCAAACCCACCCAGCTGACCCCTGTGTGTCCTGCCAGCCTCTGACCCCCTGCAGCTGAGCAAGGCTGAGCCCTCAGTGCCACCAGCCCACTACATGGATCCTGGGAATGTCTCCCACCCCTCTCTGCCTCAGGGGGAAGTGTTCCAGGGATGCCCCTGTCCCAGCTGGAAGAGCCCCAGGAGCACATTTTTCACTCACCTCCTTCCTCACCTACTTCCCTGGCAGTCCAAGGCACGATTTTTCCAGGGAAGAGCTGAACTCTGGGAAAGCAGGACTAGGGGGGGAGAGGGAAGAGCAGCCCTGTGCCTTTGGAGGAGGCAGATGTTTGCCCTGCAGAATTCCCAGGGAATCAGTGTTTGGAAACACTGATTTAAACCCAACCCATTGCACTAATTGGTGCCCAGGGCAGAGCAGCCTCAGCAGCACCAACACCCACAGCTCCATCCCTGCCTTCCAGCATCCTGGAGATCAGGAGTTCTTCCCACAGGAACACTCCTCCTGCTTGGCTTGACCCAAGGAATATGAAGCAGTTTGATACACAAGGTAAAAGTGAGGGGTTTTTTTCCCCAAACCCTGATTTTGGATCAAGGTCTCAACTTCAGCAGCACATTCAGAGAGAGAGACCTTTCAACACTGCCTTGGGTTTGTTCCACTGCAGCAAAGTCCAGGCTTTTTCTTCAAAAACAAGGTTAAAAAAATGAAGGGGAGAAGGAACAGGAAAAGGAAAAGGAAAAGGAAAAGGAAAAGGAAAAGGAAAAGGAAAAGGAAAAGGAAAA